ATATATATATATATATATATATATATATATATATATATATATATATATATATATATATATATATATATATATATATATATATATATATATATATATATATATATATATATATATATATATATATATATATATATATATATATATATATATATATATATATATATATATATATATATATATATATATATATATATATATATATATATATATATATATATATATATATATATATATATATATATATATATATATATATATATATATATATATATATATATATATATATATATATATATATATATATATATATATATATATATATATATATATATATATATATATATATATATATATATATATATAACATATAGGCTACTTTTAGCAAAAAATATATTATTTAATAATTAACTTTAATATAAGATGCTGAAATAAGATTTGGTTCCCCTTGAAACATTTTTGTTTTGCTATTTGCAAATGTGTTGTAAGAATGCAGTATTTTCTTGAATTGTGTTGTGAGAATTTGCAGCACATTTGCTGTCAAACCAATGAACATCTTTTCTTAATTTGCTGGTGTTTTTTTATAGTTGCATGTGTTTTCTTAAATTGCAGCATGTGCTGATAGTAATATATTTTTTTTAATAAAAAAAAGTCTTTTTTTATAATTAATTTAAAAATTAGAATAAATATACTGAAAGATGGACTTATATATGGTTGAAGCTAAATGTTGGGTTAAACAGTGTATTTTAAATTTATTTGAAAAAATTGACTAAACGTTGAGTTTGTCCACGTTTTTGACCTAATATTGGATTGACAGCCCAGCATTTTAAGGATGGATTTATGGATGGATGGATAGATGGATAGTTTTTAAAATATTTGTTAAAGATTTAATACTTTTAAAATCATAATTGTATTATTTATTATGAATCCTATCAATTTCTATTTTAATTAATATCGCAATACTTCTACAACAAAAACTGGTAACACTTTACAATAAGGTTCATTAGTTAATGCATTTACTAACATGAACTAATCATGAACAACACCTGTACAGCATTTATTAATCATAATTGAACATTTACTAATGCATTATTAACATTCAAGTCCATGATTGTTAACATTAGTTAATGCACCATGAGTTAACATGAACTAACAATGAACAACTGTATTTTCATTAACTAACGTTAACTAACATGAACAAATACAGTAGTAAATGTATTGTTCATTGTTTGTTCATGTTAGTAAATGCACTAATTAACATTAATTAATGAACCTTATTGTAAAGTGTGACCCAAAAACTACTA